GAGAATTAGAATTAGAGAATTAGAATTAGAGAATTAGAATTAGAGAATTAGAATTAGAGAATTAGAATTAGAGAATTAGAATAAGTATTAAGAGAATCAGAATTAGAGATTAAAGAATTAGAGATTAAAGAATTAGAATTAAGAAGTAGAATTATAGAATTAGAATTAGTGATTAAAGAATTATAATTAAGTATTAGAGAATTAGAATTATAGAATTAAAGAATTAGAATAAGTATTAGAGAATTAGAATTAGAGATTAAAGAATTAGAATTAGAGAATTAGAATTAGAGATTAAAGAATTAGAATTAGAGAATTAGAATTAGAGATTAAAGAATTAGAATAGGTATTAAGAGAATTAGAATTAGAGAATTAGAATTAGAGAATTAGAATTAAGAGAATTAAAGAATTAGAATATGTATTAAGAGAATTAGAATTAAAGATTAAAGAATTAGAGAATTAGAATGAGAGAAAGACTTAGAATAAGTATTAGAGAATTAGAATTAGAGATTAAAGAATTAGAATTAAGAATTAGAATTAGTGATTAAAGATTAGAATTAAGAATTAGAGAATTAGAATTAGAGAATTAAAAAATTAGAAAAAGTATTAGAGAATTAGAACTAGAGATTAAAGAATTAGAATTAGGGAATTAGAATTAGATATTAAAGAATTAGAATAAGTATTAGAGAATTAGAATTATAGAATTAAAGAATTAGAATAGGTATTAGAGAATTAGAGATTAAAGAATCAGAATTAGAATTATAGAATTAAAGAATCTGAATAAGAATTAAAGAATTAGAATTAGAGAATTAGAGAATTAGAATTAGAGAACTAGAATTAAAATTTGAATTAAAATGGAAATAGAATAAACAGAGTTGGAAGGGACCTTGGAGGTCTTCTACTCCAGAGTTGGTCGAGAGACAAGCGGATGTCTAGATGTTACAAACAAACAAAGAAACTCGCCTGCCTGTTCCGTGACCAAGAATTCCTCCTCTTTTAAGGGGACGTCGTTCTGTCCTCCGACGCTACCCGAGGACTGAAAGAAACAAACCCGTCAGTCAAGCAGGAGTGCGCAAAGGGCTCGACCCTCACCCCTACGATTTTAATGGCCTGTCCCTGAGACTAGAGGGAAGTGGGCCCAGGGTATTGGCAAAGGTCAAAAAAGTCAAGATGGCAGCCCCAACTCCACCGAGGAGATACTAGTGCCCCCAAGGAAATCCTGTATAGTAAAGTTTCGCAACTTTCACAAGTTGACGTACGTGGTCTTCGATCCCCAGAATTCCCCGGTCAACATGGTGGGACGTCAACCCCACAAAATCCCCAGCCAGCATGGATGAATAATCAGAATGGACTTCAACCCCTAGAATCCCCCAGTCCACATGGGTAGACTTCAAGACCCAGAATTCCCTGGGCGGCAAGCTGGCTGATGAATTCTGGGAATTGAAGTCCACGTGTCTTCATCAGAAGTTGAAAAACTCTTCTCTAGTAGCTGTGGGTTATGGGGGAGAGGGAGCCAAGCAGATGTGGCTGAAAACAGCAGTGCACTTGAGTGGCGGGTGTCAATGAAAGAATGACAACATGACCCACACTTAAAAACATCCGATGGGAAGCTTAAAAAGGAGACCTAAACTCTACCATAACGAGACCAGGGGGGGAAGGTCGGGGTTGAACCAATAGTAGATCAAGCTTTGTAACTAAGTAGGGCGACGAATGGATGCAGTTGAGAGGCACCATTTTTTACCCTTTCAAACTGGAGAGTTTATTAATCATAGATCTGGGAGGGACCCTGGAGGTCTTCTAGTCTAGGGCCCTGCTCAGGCAGGAAACTCTATCCCATTCAAAACAAAATGACTGTCTGATCTCTTGTTAAAAACCTCCAGTGATGGGGCACCCACAACTTCTGGTGGCAAACTGTTCCACTGGTTAATTGTTCTGTCAGGAAATTCCTCCTCAGTTCTAGGTTGCTTCTCTGATTGATTAGTTTCCACCCGTTGCTTCTCTCCTGCCCTCAGATGCTTTGGAGAATAGCTTGACTCCCTCTTCTTTGGGGCAGCTCCTCAAACATTGGAAGACTGCTATCCTGTCTCCCCTAGTCCTTCTTTTCATTAAACTAGACATTCCCAGTTCCTGCAACCGTTCCTCATATGTTTCAGCCTCCAGTCCCCTCATCATTTTTGTTGCTCTTCTCCATTAGCTCTGTCTATCACTGTAAGTGCTTTCTGGGGCCCCTAGCAGAAGCCTCAGGAACCTTCCCTAATTGGGGGGTTTATGGCTTTTTTATATGTTCTATTTACTATTGACCATTCGAAGGCACTCACCCCAAGACCAGTTTTGTCCTTGTATTGTATATATCATATATACAGGTAGTCCTCATCTTAGAACAGTTCGCTTAGTGACCATTCAAAGTTACATCACTGAAAAAAGGGACTTACAACCGTTTCTTTTCAACTTGTGACCGTTGCAGCATCCCCCATTGACATTCAGATGCTTGGCAACTGGCTCACATTTATAACGGTTGCAGTGTCCCCGGGGTCACGCGATCCCCTTTTGCGTCCTTCTGACAAGCAGAGTCCAGGGGGAAGCCGGATTCACTTAATGGCTGTGCCACTAATTTAACAACTGCAGCGATTTATTTAACCCATGTGGCGAGACAAGTCATAAAATGGGACAAGACTCCCTTAACCAGTTTCTCACTTTGCAATACAGGATTGGAGCTCAACTGAGGGCTACCTGTATAGGTATATCTAAGGTATGTACCTCGTTGGTCCCAGTATAAGGACGAAGCTGGTTGGGTGGTGCCTCCTAGTGGCCAGCAGAAAATATAGGCAGGGCCAAGAATTTTGTTGAAAGCGAATCCATAAACTGAGAGGGAGAAAGGGCCCCCCTCAATTCAAAGTGTCCTACAAAACTTGGGTTACAGATCTGACCTTCCCCCCAGCCCCCCTTCAGATGGGACTCACGTAAGCCATGGCGTACTGGATCTTTGCTCCTTTCATCTCAGCTTTAAACTGGGTGAAGAAAAGGTAGGATTTTCCTTGGGGCCTACAAGGAAAGGAAAAAAGAGGAGGGGGAGGGAAGGGGGAAGAGGGGGAAGGAGGAGGAGGCAGAAGAGGAGGAGGAGGGAGGAAGAGGAAGGAAGGAGGAGGAAGAGGAGGAGGAGGAAGAGGAGGAGGAGGAGAAGGAGAAGAAAAAGAAGAAGAGGAAGAGGAAGAGGAAGAAGAAGAGAGGAAGAGGAAGCAGGAGGAGGAGAAGGAGGAGGAATAATAATAATAACAATAACAATAACAATAACAATAACAATAATAATAATAATAATAATAATAATAGGGAGAGGAGAGAAGAGAGGGGGGGAGGGAAAGGGAAAGAGAAGGAAAAATTGGATTCAATTAAATTGCATGTTTTATTTGGCCAAGTCTGATTAGACCCCCAAGGAGTTTGTTTCCAGCACAGAAACACTCCGTGTACTCGCAAAGCCACAAGGAGAATTATGATAATAATAAGAATACCAATAAAAGGAGGATTTAAAGAAGATGATAAAAAACATAAAGCCCTCAACTTACAACCCCAACTGAGCCCAAAATTTACGGCGCTAAGTGAGAAATTTGTCAAGTGAGGTTTTGCCCCATTCTACAACTTTTCTTGCCCCCCTTTGCGAAGTGAATCA